AAGCACCATTATGAAGGGAGTTGCAATGAAGCATCATTATTATCAACTCTTCTCTTGTTTGGACCATTGTTAGTATCAAGACACAAGATTTATTTCATTTCATGGCTAGATCTTGGTTTTTGGTCCTATTTCCTTATGTTATAGCTTGTTGGCGTGAAGAAGATCCATAAAGCTAGCATCTTTATGGATTCATTTGGTCTTTTGAGTATTACATCATGCAGATATGGAAGTTGGTAGAGTATTAAAAACTTACATGAGAACTTGAGGCCATATTTCTACTTTTGACCTAAAATGTTGTAGGGACATGCATGGTGCATGCATGTCTATAAAGCAAGCATTTTTATAGACCATTAGGGTCCCCATAAGCTTCTGAAAGAGTTGTAGTTGAAGGCTAAATGGATTAAGAACGTTGAATCGTTGGTTTAGGCTTCAGACTGTTCTCATGACATGAGAAGGAAAAACCCATCCCTTGCTGAGTTGTCTGATTTAGGAGCGATTCTTTGGAATCGGAACTAGTGACTCTCATGATGTGACCACGGATTTGGTCATGACGTGAGACGCGATGATGAGTTTTGGGCCTTGTTGGGACACTAGTTATGACTTTGGGCCCCTATGGGACTTTTGAGTGTGGATTGATTTTGAATTTGATCAAGGTTTGACCAAGTTTGAACCAATGGTATTTTACGTAATTTGAGTGGTATTTGAGATTGGTCATTATTTGGTGTTTAGGTAATCAATCGAGCTGTCATTTGGAGCTGTGTTCTGCCAGAGATCTTTTTAGACTGAGAGATAAGTTTTCCTCACTGTACTCGTGGGTCGAAGACACTGGCCCACCAGATTATGTATCGTGGTTTTAGGATAGTGATATGGTAGTATGGTATTGTTTCGTAAATTTGTACGGTTATCTGTATTTTTTGGTTCTGTGTTTATGTTGTTTGTTACATTTATCGACATATTATGGTTGGGCTGAGGCGGTCCTGCTTTGTGCTGTAGGACAAGATACCTGGGGCGATCCAAATAGGTTGTAGGCCCTGCGCGAGGGGGGGGGGGTACAGTTAGGTTGAAGACCCGTAGAGCGGTCCATATAGGGTGTAGGCCCTGCAAAGTGGTCGAGTCAGGCTGAAGGCTCATATTTGCATGCTTTGTTTGTTAGGTTGTGTGTTGGTACTTTGGGGGAACTCACTAAAATTTGGCTTACAGTATCAGTTTATTGTTTCAGGTAGTTCAGATGACCATGGCAAAGCAAAGGCTTGATCATGCACATCTTCCTATTTTCTTGATATTGGCTTTTTGGGACATTTGGATATGAGTTTACTCTTGAAACAATGACTTTTCTTGTAAACAATTAAGGATAATGGTTGTTTTTGAAAATTTTATGTTTTTATGATTATTGGATGCTACAGTTACTTTGATCCCAAAATTGATAACCACTTGTTGGTGAAGGATTTTCGGCCCATTAGCCATATGGGGATATAATTTAAAATTATTTCTAAGTTGTTAGCAAAGCATCTGGTTTTCGTTCTTCCCAATGTTATTGGTGTGGAGCAATCGACTTTCCATAAGGGACGTAAATTTTAGATGGTCCTCTTATGATGAGTGAACTGATCTAATGGTTTAAAAAGGAAAAAAAAAGTTTCTCATTTTTAAAGTTGATTTTGAGAAAGCTTACGGATCTATTAGTTGGGATTATCTGGATCAGATAATGGTGTTTATGGTTTTGGGGATAATTGGTGTATGTGGATCCTGATCCTGATCCTGAACCTCCTCCTTCGTGTCGCGTAATCATCACCATTCTGAAACAAAACATATAATCATTAGGGTCATACACAATCTCGAGAGGTCTCTGATGTGAACAGAAGTATCCACTAATTTTAATATTTATAACCTAACAAACTTAGACTAACTATGTGCTTATAGGCAGTGTACCTAGTCAGATTACAGTATAGCTTAGGTAAGTCGGGTGTCGATCACAGGGAACGGTGTTACTTTATTTACTACTAAATTAATCTAATTATTAACAAGCTAAAAGGGTTTTTTTTATCTAATTTTGCAAGTTTAGATGAACTTAATTCTTTAACGATAACTTAATCAATAAACAAAACACTTCTATTAGTTCGAATCCACTTTCACTCAATGGTTATACATTAGCTGTAACTATTACTGTTGGTGACCAATTAATATAGTATTAGTAGTTTAGTTCTAAATCTACTAATTATTAATCAATTCATGTAATTCTATTTATGTTCATTCAATAGTTAACACAAAATCAATTATTAAATAAGATTGGAGCCATGAAAGATTGATTAATCAGAACACAATTATAGTCATTATATGAGTTCTCTAACACACCTTAATTTAATTATTCAATTACTAATCTAAGATTGGTTTGATCTTAGCTCTAATAACTAGTGTTCACTATATTATTAGGTATTCAAGTTCATGCTAAATTGTGTTCACTAACTACACAGAACAAGGATTCAAAGAAATTAAATAACTAATTCAAGCATGCTAGGTAAAATCAATCAACACAAGCATATTACCAACAATTAAAGTCAAATCTAATAAATTAAAACCATGAGTTCCAGCTTCATCTAGCTAATAGAAGCAGCTAGATTTAGCTGGACATATTATCAAGTAAACAAACGAATGTTATAATCCAAAACATATTAAAGTGTACCAAACTATGAATCAACTTATGTACTTCTACTTCCTTGGTGTTGAAACCAACTTCCAGGTCTTTCTCTTCTCTGAATTTTCGTCTCCAGGAACCCCTCTTAGCTCCTAAAAATCTCCCAAGTCGTAGGGTACAAGGATATATATATATATATATATATATATATATATATATATATATATATATATATATATATATATATATATATATTCTGGAAAATACCCGTTCACATCGTGAGAACTTAAAGCTCATGTCGTGAACTCAGAGAAATCATAATCGCCAAGGATTTCTTCACCCGGATGCTTATCGTCTAATTCTTCTCACTCACGTCGTGAGTCCTCAACTTTTCACGTCGTGAGAACGTCTTTTATGGATGTTTCTCTTGTCTTTCAAGCTTTTAACCTCCAAAGTTCCATCCTTTAACGCTTTTAGCCCATTTCTTCAAAATGTCTTCTATTTTGGCTGCAAAATATAATTTAACCTTATAAGTATCATTATTCTATGCAAATCGCCAAAATGTATATATAAATGTACTTAAATATTTCCTAAAAATATGTATTAATGTGGAAATATCAAAATACCCCACACTTAGGCTTTGCTTGCCCTCATGCAAATCTACTTATTTAAACTCCAACTTTCATCACTAGCATTTCGTAGAACAATCCAATTCCAGCTCAGCCATTATGCCAAGACCTCAACGCATACATTTGTGTCTAAATTTTTCCTAAAGTACCCCCATACTTTAAATACTCACAATCTTCATAAACACTCACATACTTCTTCCGAACAATGCTCATTTTATGCATCCCTTCGAATCCATCCGCAGAAAACCTCCTAACCTCAAGGTATTTTTGGTTGAGCAACCCAAGCATACATAATCTAGACAATTACAATTTATGATACCACTATGGAGCTCTTTGGAATTCTTCACTTTCTTGATAATTTGATCTTTGATTTCTTTGAATTCACCACCTTGTTGTTTGATTTTTGGTATCTTCAACTTTTGAATTTCTTCGAATTTTGGTTTTTGTTCTTCATACTTTGACTTTGATGCTCCAAAAATTCTTCAAACTTTTTATTGTAATTCTCTCTTTTCTTTTTAACATGTAACTCACTTTTTTTCACTCAAAACCCTACATGCTTAAGCAGGGGCGCTCAACTTCAACCTTTATTGGTTAACGATAATAATTTTTCTGGATAGATTTCTAGTACACGATGCTAAACACATTGCATACTTCAAACTAAGCGAGGTTGTGTTTTTGTTCCATGATTTCACTAAAATAAGGGAGTCCACAAATACACTATAATGTGTATTGGCTCAACTAAACATTTGAGCTCTTATCGGATTATCCCATATAACACTGGCAACTACATTTCAAATTATTGTTACTAGATTCAATTATTAAAAATTCCAAAATTTCAAATTTTACCATTATCTAGAAATTTACTTTTTCTACCCCCTACCCCACACTTATTTTATACAATGCTCTCATTGTATGCTTAAATTAATATAAAAACTAAGAGAAGGGAGAAAAAGGAACAAACTCCCCTGGGATAGTGGCGTGATCATCTCCAAAAGTACGTATGGAATGTGCATCCTGAATATAGACTTTGAAAAATAGAAACTTGGATCTTGAACACGCAATATAAGTAATGTACCGGAAAAATATGGAATCGGGTCTTCAATCTTCAACAGATGTGGTGCAGAAAAATGTGCACAATGAAAAGAACAATGTGGGATAACAAATGCCACATTGTATGGTAGATAAAATGGGCCATTATCAGCTTCATAATATTCTCAACTAGAATGGTGGTGAACCACATAAAGAATATAGAAAAATATGATTATTCTTGTGAAAAGTAAAAAGTCACGACGTGAGGATGTAAATGGCCACGACGTGAATTCAATTGGAAACGGTTTCTGAAACTCAGAAGATAACGACTCACGACGTGAGAACTGGACTCTCAGAAATGTATTCACCTCAACCTTTCTTCTAAGTTATTATATTCACCCCATGTATTAATGGATTAAGACTCTTCTAACCTTATTAATTTCAAGTCTTCTCTCCAACTTCCTTCTCATTTGCCTCACCCCACAGTTATTTTAAATTGTAGGTCTCGACTCTCGACTTTAAACACTCACGGTTAAACACATATGCACTCATATCTAGACATCTCCTTCGCGTGATTCCTAATAAATCTGAAAATCAACCAAAGAAGAGAGAAGTAACATAATATATCATAGTTTTACAAGCCAAACAAATTTAAAAACAAAATAAAAATAATCAAAACAATAAGAAAATAAAGGAAATAAAAGTAGACACAATCAAACATCCTGCTTATCCTCGTGCACTCCGCTAGTGCCTGCTCCGTCGGCTCCATGTCCTCTATACTCCGTCCACCTCGGGCAAATCAGGTAATGATACCCCAAATGAGGTGGCTGCTCCACTCCAAGGCGTTGAACAACGTTCTCCATGGTACCACTAATCCAATTGACACTCAAAGATAACTGGTCAAAATAACCAGCCATGTCACTCCTAAAAGGTGCCCCCACCATGGATGCGGGTGGATGCATTGGTTGCCTGCGTTCTCCCCTTCCTCTTACATTCCTACGCATCGGTTTCAGTTGTGGTTTAGGTTGGTCGGCCGGTTGGTCATCACCATCATCACCCTCACCATCTGAAGGTACTATGCCCCAATGCGACCCGAAGTTTCTGACAACCCGCATAGTCTCCAAATACCCCATGCCAAACTCATGTTCATCCACACAAGTAATGGAACGAATAATATCAGGAACAACCAAATGATACGAGCGGGCCAAACGCATAATAAATTGCCCTCCACAAATGGGGCTCCCAGGGCGCGAACTAGCTGCAGACCCGGCCAGAAAGCGTGCTAGAAAATAAGGAATATTGCAACACACGCCGGGATGTAAGATACACCATAAGAAGAATAATTTTTTTTGTAACTTTATCTCCATGCCTCCTATGATTGATGGAGAATGCGATGAAACAGTGGAGTAAGCGATGGATTGGGGACCAAATACTGCTCTCGGGAGACACTCCGGAATTAAACATTCTGGACGCAATATTATGCCAGAAAGCATATCTAGTGACACCCTTCGTATATCCTCTAGTATCCATGCTAAAAAAACATACCAAATTCGGGATTCATTGCCTCTTGTCGATCATATAGTCCAACTCTCCAAGCAAATTCAACGAGGCTGCACTCCCGGTACTCACCCCCCAACCGGAACACCAAAGCTTGCGGCCAATGTGGGTTTTGGACTGTCTCCTGGAATGTCACTGTTAAGAAAAACTCAACGCAAAATTCCTTATATACCCGCTCTTGAATCCGAAATATATTGCGGCAAATTGAACAAGTGAACGAGTATCCATCTCCAATAAATACGTTTGTCAAAAATGGGGACAGCTTTTCCACGAGCCCGATTTCCCTCAAACGCGTCCAATTGATTGTAGGAGCAACAATAATCTTGCGGTTATAAAGCCACCCTAACTTGTTGTTCCATCGAGTCAAGATGTCACGAGACATAGTGGTGGGAAAATTGTAAAACGAGTGCAAACCCACAACTCCAAGAGATGCTTCCCTTCTAGGACCCATTTCTGCAAAAACAAGCAACAAACAAACCCAAAAGAAACAACCCACAAGTTTATAAATTAATAGAACTGATAATGTCTAGTCCCAGGATTCACGTCGTGAGTTCGCACCTTCTGCACACAGACTCGCAAAAATCAGGGGTTGATCTAGTCACATTACTAATGGGGTTTACTCGTGTGATAATTTCGACCATAATTCATTAACATACCAAAGCTATTCCACGAATTCTAGGGAAAATTTCATACATTTCGACTAACTAACAAACCCTAACCTTAAGTTTAACTATTAAAGAAAAATTGACTTTAAGAATTAAGAAGTATTACCTTAGATTGTAGTATGAGGTAAGCAAAAACACAAATCGTGTGATTGTCGGCAAAAATTGGAGCAATGGGCACCAGATCTCGTGTTCACTTCGTGGGGATTAAACAAAAAAAGGGTCAAAGGGATTCTTATCTCCTTAATCCGTGGTCCCGAATTTTTCAACACTCACGTCGTGAGTCGTTAAGGATTCACATAGTAAGTCCTGTCTGGGCTAAATTTTTGGGACATGCATTCCTTATTAAAAATGGAGTAGTCTTGGGCCAATAAGTTTAATAGAAAACGGGCTGACATGCATCATTTTCATCTTATCCGGCTTATTCAGAATTCACGTCGTGAATCCTTAACTATTCACGTCATGAATACTATACAAAAATATTATTAAAACAAGTTTGTCTATTAACTAACTTCTTAATTATTAACACTTCATTTTTAGGGACCCCACACTCAGTGTTTAATTATGAACAAAGCGAGTTGGATGATATGATTTATTTTCTAAGACTAAAATGCAAAAATTAAAAAGAAAAGAAAATTGCAAACCAGACTAGGGTTGCCTCCCGAGAAGCGCTTCTTTTTCTTGGAGTCATGAGTTGGAATCCGTGCCTCCTACGTTGAGTCCTCGGAAGAATCCACCACTAAGATCTTTTTTTCCTTGAAACGCCTCTTGTAAGATTGAACTCGTCTTTTGTACGCCTTCTTAGAATTCTCCTTTTTAGCTTTTACCTCTTCTCCATAGAGCTTGCGTTTTGTCCCTTTAGTCTCCAAGTTATCTTCATACTTAGACTCCTTGGTATCCTTTTCTTCCTTTACCACTGGACTTGTTATTTTTGATGTAACTTCCTCTTCATCACTTGTGATCTCGTCATCTTCCTTGCTCACCCAAGAGAATTGGACTTGTGTATGCAATGACTTCAACTAAATATGGAATACTTGCTCTTGGTTTTGTTCTTTTGACTTGATGAATTGTCTTGATTTCTTCTTCCATGAGCTTCTCTAATTCTTCAAGTTCATCTTCTTCATCAATTTTGAAAACTTCTTCATGAGCATGATCCCCTTGAAAGCCATCTTCCATCCCAAAAACTTCCTTTGCATCACCAACCCTCAAGGTGAGCTTAGACTCGTGAATATCAACAAGAGCTCCAACAATGTTTAACAATGGGCGACCAAGAATAATCGGTACATCGGGATCTTATTTCATGTCCAATACCACAAAATCTATTGGAAAAACGAATTTCCCAATTTTCACTAAAATATCTTCCACAATGCCCCGGGGCTGTGTCACTAAACGGTTCGCCATGTGACTAGTCATTCTTATAGCCTTTAACTTCTGAATATCTTGTTGGATTAGTGTCTAAGTCCATAACTATTTTGGTATGTACTTGACCCGATGGTGCATGGTCCTTTTGGGTTGCCTTCACCAAAGCAACTTGATAGGATGAATTATGGAGAGAAAGGATTAAATATGATTTATTAATATATTATGAGAATAATATATTAAAGGAAAAATCATATTGTTTAATTAATATTAGTCAATAATTAATTGGTAATTAGTTTTGTGACTAAAAGGGATTAATTAAACTTAAGGGACTGGAATTGTAATTATAAGATAATTGCAATTTGAGCTATGGATTGCCTTATATTAAGGAGTGGACGAATTGTAATTATAAGATAATTATAGCACCTGGTTCCTGGTATGTAAATCTTATTTGAGTATTTTCCAATTTTAGCCTTGGACTCGTCGATTCATAGATCCGACTCGCCGAGTAGGGACGGGACCCGGGACACGTTTAAGTTGGCGACTCGGAGAGTCCATATCATGGACTCGGCGAGTCACCGCTGTTGGATGAAACCCTAAGTTTCAGGGGTTTGCACCCTGTTTAAACATCATATCCGCCCCATGCCAGCCCCCATTCACCCCAGAGCTCCCAACCCTCGTTCTAAGCTTGTTCCTTGAGAGTTTGAGGCTATTGTGTGTGTTCTTGAAGGTTTTGTGTAACGACCCAATTTTCACATCCAAAAATTTCATTTTAAAATATTACTTTTAGAAATCATTAATACATAAAAGCATTGTTTGATCACGCCATAACACATCGCAAACCATGTTTTAATATTCAAACCATACAATCCATCAAATATCAGAGTACAATCCCAGTGAATCTCGTAATGCGGAAACCGAAGAGTGTGTGTGTGACATGCTGCTACCGTGCCGGCTCCTTTCCCCTAGCTGAGGAGGTACCTGAAACCAAAACTGAAACCGTAAGCACAAAGCTTAGTGAGCTCCCCCATAATACCCCATACCGTACAACATATAACAAATAACATGCAATTAGGAGATACGGGCCCCGCCCACACTCGTGAGGATACGGGCCCCGCCCACACCTCACTTTCTGAGAGATACGGGCCCCGCCCACACTCGTGAAGATACGGGCCCCGCCCACACTTCGCTACCTGGGAGATACGGGCCTAGCCCACACTCCATTCTCGGAGGGATACGGGCCTCGCCCACACCAACCGTCAACACATATCATACAAGTATCACGCAGACAACAAGTATAAACAGTTCTATCATACTGGTATATATCACAATCAACTCGACTAATAGATACGGGCTCGGCCCACACTATAATACTAACGTCTCATCTATACGGGCCGGCCTTGGTGCCTTAGACCCGTTACTATGAAGGAAACTCACCTCGAAATAGCTGCTGGTCTGTGTGGGAATTGATCACCTACTACTGCTGCTGCTGCTCCGGAAACTCCCCGGCTGTAATTCCCACAATATACTTAATCATACACTGCTAACTGTCCTTTGGGTAAAAAGACCATTTTACCCCTGGTCTAGCCCTAAGTCAAATCGAAGTCAACTTTAGTTACCCGACTCGCCGAGTGGATCCACTCGCCGAGTCCCTAGCAAACTATTGTCCTGGGTCCCTGATTCTACTCGTCGAGTTGGGCTATGACTCGACGAGTTCATCTTCTAAACTGTCATTCAACTCCTTCATCCTACTCGCCGAGTTGTATGAACAACTCGTCGAGTTCATCTTCATCCGAAGAACACTATGCTAAGACTCGCCGAGTTGTATGAACAACTCGCCGAGTCTGTTCTTGATCTATGAAGATTGCCTTGGACTCGCCGAGTCAGGGCATTGACTCGCCGAGTCCTAACATGGGTGAGTTCAGCTCCCAACTCACCGAGTCACCCCCTGTGACTCACGGCTCAACTCGATACATCATGAAGGGACCAATCGGTGACTCGCGACCAGACTCGCCGAGTCGCCAATACGACTCGCCGAGTCGCCGCCATGCATCCACCAAATACACCGATTTACTCGATTTCAGTCCATGCCATTCATAGATCTGGACTTCTAGGACACAAATCACACGTAAAGTTTCCAACTTTACGTGTGGATATTCACTAATATGGATTTTAGGGTCAAAATGCCTCAAAAGGGTAGATCTAGGATGAACAAGCCACATGGGCCATAAAGCTAACAGATCTGAGCTCCTGGAGCTCAATCTTGCCTAGATCTAAAGGTTAATCCACTTATTACGAAACATTAAGCACAAACAAGCTTGAAGAATTGCTCAAGAGTGTCCCAAATGAAATCCTAAGCATAGAAACAGGGGAAAAACGAGATATACCTCAATGATACAGCTGAAAAACACAATGATGCTTGGATGGCTCTCCTTTCTCTTGATCTCCTTCCCTTCTTGCCTCAAAACCTTCAAGAATGCACACAAGAGCCTCAACTACACAAGAAACAAGCTTAGGACGAGGGTTGGGAGCTCTGGGGGTGAATGGGGGCTGGCAATGGGCAAATATGGGGTTTAAATAGGGAGCAAACCCCAGAAACTTAGGGTTTCATCCAACAGCGGTGACTCGCCGAGTCC